GTGCTACGATGCCTACGTTAATGTCGATGAGTCAGCAGGTAGTGGCGCCACGAGTGCTACGTTAATGTCGAATGTCAGCGTGGTAGGTGGCGCACGACAGCTACCGTTAAATGTCGATGTCAGCTACGTAGGTGGCGCGCACGCATCTGCGCACGTCTCAATCGGCGATTGCTCTCATGCAAGGTAGGCTGGCGGCCTATGATGGCACGTTTAACTGTCGATGTCACAGTAGGTGGCGCCACGATGCTATGCTAATGTCGATGTCAGCAGGTAGGTGGCGCCACGATGCCACGTTAATGTCAGCACAGTCTCACAGCTACAGGTATCTATCTCACTAACTTCCGCTCCCTCTCACAGCTACAGGTATCTATCTCACTAACTTCCGCTCCCTCTCACAGCTACAGGTATCTATCTCACTAACTTCCGCTGTCTCTCACAGCTACAGGTATCTATCTCACTAACTTCCGCTGCCTCTCACAGCTACAGGTATCTATCTCACTAACTTCCGCTGCCTCTCACAGCTACAGGTATCTATCTCACTAACTTCCGCTGTCTCTCACAGCTACAGGTATCTATCTCACTAACTTCTGCTCCCTCTCACAGCTACAGGTATCTATCTCACTAACTTCCGCTCCCTCTCACAGCTACAGGTATCTATCTCACTAACTTCCGCTCCCTCTCACAGCTACAGGTATCTACCTCACTAACTTCCGCTCCCTCTCACAGCTACAGGTATCTATCGTACGAGGAGGCGTGCGCCATAAATGCATACGTGGGGTGTGGGGCATGTAGCGCGCTCCATGGGTGGAGAGTAGGAAGTCGTTAATTTGTTTAGGACGGATATTATCTTTCACATATTTATGAGAAAATCGTCATGAAAACCATGACTGTACATCATATCATATATCTATCATTCTTATAATTTTATTATAATTTTAATATTATGCGCATAGTGACGATTATAGTTTGCGTATTTCTCTGTGTAGATGATCCGTGTAATATATCGTTAAGTAGGGCCTGTCTAGTTGTCTGTTGTTGCTCGTGTTCCATCGAAAAAAAATTCTCAGCGTTTACTGCAGTAACTCTGCAGACGCTCACTGCATACGAAGCTTGGTTCCAGTATATACTAAGACGTCTCTGTTCTCGTGCGCTGTTCCCTGATCGTGTTAGAATCCGCATGTGAACGTTGCAGATCCAGGATTGCAATCCGGACATGATCTCGGGGATAGAGAATCTTCGATCGACTCTACAGAAGCTTCACGTTCATCACACCGTCCGCGATTTCAAGGTTAGATTCCGAAACATGAACGCTACCTTCGTGGTTGATTTTTACTGTGGACAATTACCGATAATTAATAGATATCACAATTTATCACTATAATAGTTGATATACATACATACATACACATATGTAGTATATATTTATATACATATATGTATATATATATATACAGGGGTAGAAATTAACTTTTGAATACGGTAGTCCAACGGACTCCCTGCCCTCAAAAAGAGGGAGTCCGCAGCAAAATGAGGGAGTCCGCAGTCTGAAGTTCAAAATTAAAGATATTAGCAATAACGCATGTGCTTATTTTTAAGATTCATGCGGTTGCACGTCTGCCAAATTTTCTTGGGATTTTTACTGAAAAAATACGGTAATTCCGCGAGGCCGTGCTCTTGAACGAACTAGTTAGAATGGCAGAATTTTCAGGGAGTCACACGGACTCCTGCATATGTCAAATCGGGGA